CCCCCGTCACTCACCCCCCCCCCCCCACCTCCCAACACACACCTAAAATTATCAGATTGTGAGATTATTTTCATTACTTGCATTTTTCTTTAATTTCTTCCTTATTGCTTCAGATAGAATAATAGCTGGACATATGGGTAGACAGATTAATATTTGATAAGAGTTTACATATACGTAAAAAAACAAATTGTATAATAATAATAATAATAATAATAATAATAATAATAATAATAATAATGAAACCTACCCTACAAAAGTTGGAGTGCGCTTCCGAATATGTCTTCCTTGACCGTCCTTAGGTATTTGTCAAAATAAACAGAAATTAAATTTAAGTTTACAAGCAATTTATATGTCTTATTTGTTACTATATGATGTTTACTGAAGAAATTGACAATTTGAAAAATTCTAAAAATTCGGTATCTTTGTCTGCATTCAATATGCTTTCATGGTTCAGTTCATTCATTCTCTTTTACTTTCGAGGGTCACTTGAGTAAAGAAACAAGTAAAACAGTAGTTTATTTAAGCTTCTCGGTTGCTATCCAACATTACCCATCTAAATAAAAGGTTGGAGGTATTTGTATGTGACGTACCTCGATGAGCGCCTTTGATTTCTCAGATACCGGCTCTTCAGCTCGAGCGGATTCGGGGGATGGAGCAATCCTTCTGCTCCGTCGGCGTATGCGAAATGCGCTTACAGCTCGAGAGGCTACATTTCGAACACGTTTACGGGCGCGACAAAATCTACCTTCGTTTTCTTCGGATTCTTCCATTAAATCAAAATAACTTGATAAAAACTCGCAGTTTGATAAATTACGAACATCGCCTTTGGCTTGGATATTGTAACTAACGTTACGGCAAGCGGTGCCGTGACGTAGTTGTCGCTTATGACGTCACATGAAAACGTAACGTTAATACAACAAAAGCGTAACGTTTGTTGGATTGCCAGTTGCAAATGCTATCTATCTTGATGCAATAATGCCTTTAGTCTTGAAAAAAATCAAAACTATTTATTTATTTTTTCATTTATTTATTTATTTACTATAATAATAATGTTTTATTTTTATGTGGTCTATTGCGTTTAAAATCTCAATGTGCCTCATCATTAAGAATGAAACTTTGGTATTATTTAATGTCAGAATGACAAAAATGAGAGCTAAGAATGGCAAATTAAGAGTTCAATATACATGTAAGTTATAGACAGCTTATTATCCTTCTTCTCAGTACTGTTTCTGGTGTCTTGCCTTGGGTAATATCAGGATTTCAACTTCTTTTTAAAGAAAATACAAATTTAATTGTTTAACAAAAATATGAAAAGTCTCAAAATAAATCTCGCTAAAATTACTCCCCCCTCCCCAATTCCACACCATTCCCATACAAACGGTTCCTGATTCGTCGTACACAATTTACATTTGGTCTAGTGAATACACCATGGAAGGTGGCTATACAGACCCGTAGCCAGCAAATGCGAAAGCTGGGGTCTTTTTCTGAAAATATGGACTTTTTGTCATGAAACCTTTGTTACCCAGACCAAATTTATCCAGAGTGGACCTTTCCAAGCAAAAAAAAAAAAAAAAAAAAAAAAAAAAAAAAAAAAAAAAAAAAAAAAAAAAAAAAAAAAGGGGGGGTGGGTGGGGGGTGGGGAGGGGGTTCTTTCGAACCTCCGACCCCCTTAGCTACGGGCTTGCTAAGCATTTATCAAATTCCTCTTGTTCCATCCGTAGAATGGATCAGATACTCATACATATAGCACAGGCTCCAATGGTCGGCACCCAATTCTAATAAAAAAAAATAAATATAAATATATACATACATAAGAGCAAACTTAATTGAGAATCTTGACCGAGTGGACACCCCCCCCCCTCCCCCCCAACAATATTGACAAATACCCCACCCTTACCCTCTTCCATGGTTGGAGACATTTCCCTATTTGTCATTATTCTGGCAAAATTTCCCTCTATTCATTTGCCAATGGTAGATAAAAGAAAATATAATTTTTTCCTCAAAGCAGATAATTTTCTGTAATATTTCAACGTGTAAGACAGGTCACAGGTCAACTTCACCGAGTCTCATGATGTCATACATATAAATAAATGTCTGCTTCAATAAATCAGGCGCGTTAGACAGTGAGACACGCCTTGGGTTAGGCGTGATTAGCTCATGTAATATGGTAATTAGTATTTATGACAGCCCAATTTGTTTACTGTAATAAAACCATAACGTGTTTTTGCGGGATGTTTGCCCCAGTTCGAAAAAAAGAAAAATTGTTCTACTGAGACCCGTTCTTCCAAACATCATTAAAAGTACGAGATTACACTACACATGGAAAAAATCAGTGCGATGATTTAATCTAAATGTGATAAAACACTTCTGCTAAGTTCACGTCCAAGTTTAACCACGTAATCAGGGTGTCACATAATGACTTGATCGTCCTCATGACCATGAGTGAGACTCGGTAGAGCGGCCGGCCATTACGCCTTGGGGCCCCCACGCAGCACAGTGATAAGTGATCTCCCTCGTGACGGCACGTGACTTGTCGTGTATATTTCAGCACGTGAACCCATGTTGTAGATTACTGGGCGAAAGAGCGGGAGTGGAACAACACGTTCAGCAGTTCGAAGGAAGAGCGTTACCACCCGTGGAAGAGAAGGGCATCGCCAGTCGACTTGAAGATGAAGGGGATCTTGATAGCTGCGCTGATTTTGGCGGTTACTCGTAAGTATTCTTTATTTAGATTTATTTGTTAATTCCCATAAACAACAGTTGTGCATGTGTGATTTTGTCAATAGTCTTCGTCACCACGCCCTCACTCATTTAAGCCAGTTATTTGTGCTGAGCATGAGTAGCAAAGGAAGGCGATTTTTTTACAACTGCGTCCTTAAAATAAAATATCTGACAAATATTACTTGGAGTCTTTACGAGGAATATATTGTCCTTCTTTGTTGGCCTTCACTGTGCCACTCTTTGGGATAAAGGATTACAGCACAGATCTATCTAAGAACAATCCGGTTTAGAACTGAATTATTTTCAGAACTGTATTATGCTGAATTATTGCTAAAATATCAAGAAAAACACCGCCATCCTTTATTTTTTCTAGTGCCAAAGAAGGGGGGGGGGGGGCAGGATAGCTTAATTCTAACGAATAGACTAAGTTATTTAATTGATACTGATAGTAAAATTAATGTAAATCAACTCTTTATTGAGGACTAAAATGCTTAAAGTCTCACTACACAGCTAATTTTACATATAAAATGCATAAATGATGAATTATTTAGAAAAGTAACTATATTAGACTGTGAAGTTAAGAGTTTGGTTAAAAAACTATCTAAATATGATCTTTTGTTTTTAACATATTGCAAAACCGATGTACAGTTATTTTAAAAAAATTGGTAATGTTTTTCATCGTTTTTCCTTGTCGTTGCTGTCTAATTTATAGTCTGTGAGTTATGGCCTGTAGCCCCTGGGGCGAGGGGTTGTCTACGCAAAAGAACTCGCAACTGAACTAGTTAACTTGGCCGAAGTAAAAATCAGCAGTAGGCCAGTAACATGAACTAGTATGTCCATTTTACGAAAAACAAAATATAAATAAATAAATAAATAAATAACGCGATTAATAATGATAACTTTCTTTTAGTCCATTACTACGGACAATCTTTTGTTAAGGAAGATCAAAACTTCGATCTCAAGTCTCAGGCGAATTTTTTTCCAAAGCACTTTCTCTAACCTTGTTGTAATAATAACATTATTTATTCATGCAACTAAAGGTTGGCTTTCACAAGTGCTATAAAAGACTGTTAAAAGTTACTTAAAAACATAATGAATCTACCCACCAAAAACAGAAAATAAACAAATTGATTAAAATATTAAATCAATTTGATTCTAAAAATAGCTCAATCACATAAAAGAAGTATTGAATTTTTAAAATATGAAATCAACTTATTTCTTAATATTTGAAAGTAATGAAGTTTATACATTATTTTTTGCGAGATAAAAGTCTTTGCAAATCTAACAGTTCTAAGTTTTGGAATATAAAATATCTGAGAGTAACTAAGGGAAGGTGGATTTTTTTAAACTTATGGTAATAAATGATTGAGTCTATGCCCTTCCATACACTTTCGTGAGCTGAGACAATAGATTGTAAGTTGTAGGTTAGTTAGCCCAGGGTGACAAGCCGATGTCCATGCTCTTGGCTGCGAGATAGTCTATATTGGTGCTATTATCACTGGTACCGTCTCGTGAAAGATCCATCGTTTTTACGACAGTAACTTTGGACACGTGCTCTGTATGATGATAATGGGGGAAACGGAAGGGGGGAGGGGATTGAATAATAAATTATTTGTTTTCCATTTTTCCAACTTCTAGATCTGTAGATTGGAAGTGTGCTTTTGTGTGTACATAGAGGGTTATTGTGTTCAGGACCTTTGTTAGTGGTATTGTTTTCTTGGTGGTTAATTCGGTAATTATATCGATAGACATTGCAGCTTCATATCTATGACCCTATTATTTTCTAAATAAGCGGAAATCAAGCACAAATCCTTTGGTATTAATATTTGGACCATTTTATTAAATTAATTGGGTGTATTTCATTAAATCAAATCACACATACGTGTACACATGCCACAAACACACACATAAAACATAGCGTGCAAACAAACACACACACATACACACACACACACACAGTTATTGAATTAGTGTACATTATTTTGATATCCAAGTAGAAAAGTATCCAAAGTCAATATTATGTTGCAGCATCTAGCGCCCAAAGTTCGGCGTGGACTGTCAGCGACGTGAACACCACAGCAGTATGTGTCGTAGCTCGAATGGAACTGGACATCAAGATTTCCTACTTGGACGACACCGGGGCGGTAAGTGTGTGTGTTTTTTTTTAGTAGAGAGATGTTCATGCAAGTTACTTAGTGCATCTTAATGCATTTGGGTTTTTACACGCGTGAGTCTGGGCCCTTGCGTACGTTTACGTGTGTTGACATGGGTTGTGAGTAGGTGTGCAGACGCTTGTGAGGGAACGTGCATTATTTCGCGTTCTTGAACTAGTGCATGTGGTTGTGCGTTCAGCCATGCATATTTTAATACAGGCATCCCTTTGCGTAATAATGGTTGCCCCCCGCCCTTAAAAAGATTATAATCAAATAATAACAACGTCAAGTTTCCTTACGTTTCAGAGACTCAACGCAACCATTGGTTTCCCCGAAAACTTTGATAGAATCGGGGGTTTCTGCGAGGACGCCAGTTCCCCCAACACCAACATGCTAACTCTGGAATGGAAGAAGCAAGAAGCAACCTTCAGTCTCAGCGTCAAATTCACCAAAGTTTCGGAGGACGGAGGGCAAACGTACACTAAGTATCAACTGGGGGAAGTGTCGCTCCATATCCCGATGATGCCAGAATTGTTCCCCAACGTGGAAGCAGCCGGTTAGTTTTACACTCATATTAACGAACAGAATTATTATTGTTTTTTACTAAAATAGTTAAGCTCCCTTTGGAGAATGTCGTACCAGAGATGCCATTTGTCTAAAGCAGTGATGTCCTATAAATAATTTAGAGTTTTGAATGTTCATTTTAATTTTCTCTCCTTTCAAAAATGGTGTTCAGTGTATAATAATAATAATAATAATAATTAATTAGTATTATTATTATTATCATTATCCTCCACAGTGGCCAACCAGACTCTGGTGGTCAGGAACGTAGACGACGACGGCAATCTAATGGCGCCTGCCGGGTTCTCCACCCGACTTTCCCGATGTCTGGTCTGCAACACGCAACACGTTTTTCAAAACCTGGAGGCTCACGGGACGGACGCTGAACATTACCACGACACACTGGTGACAATGACAATCTCAGATGTGCAGTTCATCGCGTTCAAGGAGGATGAGACGACCCATATTTCTGACAGTGGGGAATGTAAGTATAGGAGGGTCTATACAAGTGTGACAAGAATGGAAGTTCGAGGTCCCATATGATTATTATTATAGTAGAGGTTGGTGTTAGTCAGAGTATTGGGTTAGTAAATGGGGCGAATGTCATCTGTACAAAGTAATGGGAAGCGGACACCGGTTCCTGGCGAATTCCCATTCCCGTAACACCTGTATACTATTTATTATAGCGGACGGTGTTTTTTTCTTACTTCCCCCAGGTAACAAATGTGTGATGGACATCGCAGAGGCCCCGGAAGACCGTTTTTTCATCACCGGGTCTGCCGGAGAGGTCTGCATTATTCTGGACGTGGCCGCTAAGTTCGTTATCCCGTATAAAATGTATGATAACTCGGTGAGTGGAAAAAAAGTTTTATTTCAAACAATAATTCCAAGAGCAAATTTTTCCGGTTGGTCGGAATGAGGAATTTAAGGACTTTGATGGGATTTATTGACAGTTGTAATAATTAAAATTAGTTTAGACATTGCTATAGCTATTTTCTCTATAATTGGGGTGCACGTGCGTCACATGCGGCTCATGTTTGACGGGTGCTATTTACCGGTAGTTTCAGACTCCAAAAGGCGTATTGTACAAGTGACAGAGCATTGGAAGAAAAATGAATATTTATAATTTATCTTTCACAAGTCATGAATTTCCTACATGAATTGTCTCATGGTACTAAAATATGCCTAAAGGACCCTGTCTGTGAGAAATGAATGTTGTCACGTGTTTAGCATGAAATGCTGACCTATGGAATGCCAACTCCCAAATTAAGACGCATGTCGGATTCGGATAGGTTAATTTCACAGTTGCAAATGCCGGTGTGACAAGAATGGTAGTTTATGGAATGGAAGTCAGGGGTCCCATATGATTAGTACAGGTAAGGGTTAAACGGGGTATAGGGCTTAGGACATGGGGCAAATGTCAACTGTACATAGTAACTGGGTGTGTGTGTGTGGGGGGGGGGGGGGGGACTACGGTTCTTAGCGGACTACCATTCCTGTCTCACCATTTCTTCGAGAGTGTTTCAGCTTAATTCCAATAGCGCTTATTTGTCACCCTCCGTTTTTTTTTCTAGACTGGACACGGAATGTTTAATCTCCCGACACAAAATGAGACCACAGTAAGCGGTCAGTGCGACGAGAGGCGACAGACTGTCTCCGTGAAGTTCTTCGAGGGCTGGGTGTTGAGCGCCTCCTTTGAAAAGGATTATATGACGTCATCGGGGAATTACAACGTCAGTGATTTGTCACTGACCTTCACCTACAGTGACGAGAGATTCGTGGATCCCCATCCGAGTATTACCGGTAATTGAGCCCCTCTAGTTGATCTTATCTAAGAAGCTAAGTAAAATATATTTATTCAATTCAATTTCAATTCAATTTATTTCTGTACTGGTACATAGATTGTCATGACCTTGTACAATATGATATATTAATGACGATACAATACAAATAGTGCATTACCATTTCTCTAGTTGGTATTATGATGCCAAGCCATTTGTGAATGAAAAAATAATCTTTATATAATGAACATACGTACTAGTAAAATTACTCATAAAATATTCTATCTAAGCAATGAGATAAACCTTGGTGTGATTATAAGTTTACCATAAACATACTATAAACATGTTACACAAAAGGATATGTTTAAACTTAAAACCACAGTTACATAGCTGTTTACATGGCTGTTTAAAGCCAGTTTGATGACACAGATAATTACGATTAATGACAATTACATAAGACAGATAAGTAAATAATTAAGTTACACAGATATAAATATTGTGCCATGTTCAGTCCCACTGCCGAGTCACTTCTCACAACAGTGGGGCCATACACTGACATTTTAAGGGATATGCTAAGAGTTACCAAGCAGAGCAACCACTTCACTTCTTTTCCTGAATGATTTGATTATAAAGTTGGAGAGGGACACTTAAGTATTTATTAATCACAAGAGAAATAACAGGCAGGAGTATACAAGTTGAACCAATTATCAAGCTAAAACTAGTCGTTTTTATTTATCTATTCATTTAATTATCTGTATTAACTTTTTTATTCATTTATTTATCAAATTTCATCAAAGACTACAGACAAGGAAAGATCTCTTTACTCCCTATTTGTACATTTTCATTGAAGAAATCGAGTTCAGCATTTGTTACTTTAGGTGCAAGCCTCTGACCAAAAAATCGTCACCTTCTTTTCCAGACACCACAGCCACTGTCCGTCTGTCCATGGGGAACCAGACCACTCTTGACCCATTCCAGGCGGCCTTGGGACAGTACTTTAAGTGCCAGAAAGAACAGACGCTACTCCTGGCGGACGAGAATGGCAACGGCGCTCGGCTGGACACTTATAAATTCGACTTCCAGGCGTTTAAAGAGACTAATGATAACGATTTTTCCGATGCACAAAACTGTGAGTATATACATATATATTTGCTTTTTTTCGGTAAATTACTATTGTATTTTATTAACATTTAGTCAAAATATTGCATAAATCCATTTGTTTTAAAATAAATTCCTTTGACATACTGATTTAGACAAATCTTTAGGCACTATAGCTAACCTAGCATTCGGCATGTTTTAAGCCAGCTGATGCAGTAGTGCTTTATCAATATTAGGAATTTTTGGACCAGCGATGGAATATTATAATTCTAATAGAATAATTCCAGGAATAGACCAATTAAAAGTAGATAATAATACTGTGCTGTTTGTATATTTTCAGTTCACGAATGCTCTAGCGACAATGGTGGCGGCGGCGGCAGCGGTGGGGCTGAGACTGGAGATAGTAACGCAATAGTGCATGTCGTGATCGCTCTGGTTGTAGGTCTCGCTGCTCTCCTCCTTCTTGCAGTGTTTCTGATCAAACGCCAGAGAGCCAGGTCGTCGTATCAATCCATGTGATAAACTTTCAGATTTTGGAATGTTTTGGAGTTATGTTTTCTACCACATCTAAGCGGCAGCAGAAATGTCCGATTTAAAGCGAAGAAACAGCCAATTTCATAAGAGGTGTTTTGGATAGCGGGATGGCCTTTCGGGGCATAGGTAGAAGTAAAACTTGAAGAAGGTTTTGAGCATAGGATTATATGGTTACGAAGAAAAAAAAACGGAAATAAAGCAACCAGAAAAATTAACTAATAAAAGTACGATTAAGAAGAAACAGCCTATTGGAGTAGTTGGATTAGTTCGTAAGTTTTGGGATCTCCCCAAAAAATAATGTAAATAGAACGTTAACCAGTTACAAATACTTGTGACATGGTTCTTGTATTTATCAATTTGTTCGTTTACCTTATTATATTATATTTATTCATGTTTTGCGTATATGTGAATTCATATTGAATCGGCTCAAGGCTTCGTATTGCCTAGGTTTACAATTATTTCAGCATTATACGAATGTAAATAAGAACGCAAAGTTGAGGTAATGCTTTTTAGTCCAGTTTCATATTCTTGTCTAGGTCAATTAGTTGTAAAGCGCAATGAAAAAAGCATGAAAATAAAAATGCTCGCACGCTTATTGTAATCTCACTGGTAGGTTTTACTTATCATTACTGATGGATTTGGATAATATTAAAAGTAAACTGGTAAACGTTTATGAATTTCATTTATGTTCATTCTAAAACGAAGCGAACGGTCAGAATGTTTATGTTTACATTGACAGGCATCCAATTTATTATCAGATGGTTAAAATGGAGAATGGATCAAGAAAGACAATTACATGTATGAGTATTGTCAGGGAATATCTCTGGATCCGCCCCTGTAATACTTAAATCCTGAGCATATTTTGACCGTCGCATAAATCACAAGTACTAATGTGTTAACCCGCGGGACGCATGTCTTACTGAGTATTCGGGAGTGTCAGAGCTTGACGTCATTATGGACACCTCGGGCGATGCCTTATCTGACATCTTGTCTCATTTGGCACTCATTGCTACGGACGTAAATAAGGCTGTGGATTGCTCTAAGTGGAATGTTTCTTGATGAAGTCTGCAACTTTGGCATACGAAAAAGCAATGTTCTCCCTGAAGAATGCTGAAAAAAAATCACTGTTTAATAGAAAAAGTAACTGGTATATTTCTAATACCGTTAAACTTCCGAGGAGCTTAACACTTTTATTAACAGACCAAAATGTGTCACCTTTTATGCACTTTTATGCACCCAAATGTTTACTTTACCCCATCTACGATGGCCAAGTTATAAAGACTCCTCGTTATTTTATCCGATACAAGTCGTTAAAGCTAAGGCAGCCGAGTCACCTGGTAGAACGAAATATGAATGGACCACGCCCTTCATTACGACCAGCTCCGTCTCCACGCCTGCGTCCTTTAATTTCTGTACATATTCTTAAAAGAGAAAAATAAATATAGTTACAAATTCACGGTGCAATTGACAATACCAGTACGTTGATAATTTCATGGTCTAATAAAGAAGCACCAATAATTTTTTAAATCACAATTCTACATGAATCTCTACAAACTGTTTTATCCACACTAAGAAAGTTTATCTGTTCGGCATATATTCACCCTGAGGTACAAAATGCTAATGATGACTATCTCTTGCCGCCCTCCGAGGCCGTTTCATCAAGGCCCCATTCACATAGACACCATGGGTCTACGTAAATCGAACCGACATTGCGGGAACTCCCGCTGAGTGCAATCTGCAATCCTGGCACTGGGTACATGTGAAGAATACCGAAAAGGTGGTGATTTTACAAGAACGTTGGCAACAGGAGAAGGCATGATCGGTTAAGCTGATTGCAGTCAGCGAGAGTCCCTGCAGAGCTGGGTCGATCCACGCAGACCGATGATGTCTATGGGAATGAGGTCTAAGGTTGATGGTCATGAAGGAGCCTGGTACTGAAACTGGAGATGAAGACCTGCCACTTCGAACATTACTAAAAACACAGCGTTGATTAATTACCCCCTAACAGCTTCAGTAGGCGTGTCAGATACCAGAGCGGCGTAAGCTGAAAGCAATTTAGCGAGAATCCCCTCGGAGAAGGACCGATTCCGCTAGATCGAAGTAGGTATGGGAATGGGTCTAAGATTCGGCCTACGGAAACCGCCGAGGTTTCCCGAAAGATACAAACCCATGTTTTCGTCCACCAAGACGTCACTTCCTGTCACGATACACAACGCAGGCGGAAGATGGCTGAAGGACTGTCGCAGCAATGGAGAGGCACGCGGATCACTCTTTTCTTCTTCGTTATTTAAGAAGTGATTAGCATACCTGGAACGATAATGATAATAATAATAAATGTAATAAAAGTACACTTCTTTCAGCAAGTTTTGATATTTGCTATTTTACTATTATACTCGTTTTCATATTTTCTTTCCTCGAAAGTAGTCACTTATTAGAATGAAATTGCATTTTACTGTGAACACAGCAAGAGCAGGCGAATGGGAACAGAATGGAACCATTTGGTGTCATACCAATGCATCTGTTTCTCTGTCAGCGAGTAGCCATCTGAGTAAAGTTTGTAGGATGCTGTGTTACAGCGAAGGTCGAACACAGGATAGACTAAAACCTGGAGAAAGACGATTGTGTTATAGCACCGCGCACTTTCTTGTGCATTAGACATTGGTATTATAGAAGTAGGGTTAGATATCCGTGTGTGTGTGTGTGTGTGTGTGTGCGTGTGCTCAAAGAAAACGGTCTACTTGATGTCTTTCAGTTATTGTTGAAACTGGCCCACGAGAAATCATCACCATGTGACCATGATTATAAGTTAATAAAATGCTGCGAACTTTTGGTTATTAGAATACATTAAGATCCGTTAAGTATTTTACCTGAAATGAGACACCAGGAACATCATGTGCCGCAGACGCTGCTAAATGTCCGCCTGCGCTGTCACCACATACACCGATCTTGCTACTGACTGATCCACCTGGAAATAAATAAATAAATAAATAAATAAATAAATAAATAAATAAATAAATAGTTGAAGTTCTTGAATATATTGGTAAACTATACCGTTACGGTTAACGAAGCAGGCTTCATCTAATCAATGCTTCAATTTTTCCCAAATGTGACCTGATCTTCTTTGTTTTGAAAAGATATTTAAAAAACCGTTTTATTCGTCACGCATAATTATGAAGTTAAATATCAAAACGTTCAGGCTTTATAAACGGGTTAGGTGTTTTCGAACGCGAGCCTCAAATTTGTTAGCACAAATCCCCAAACTAACGACTCAACTCACAAATAAAGAAGCCCGACTTAAAATCTGTAACCTCAAGCACAGTGCAAGGACCCACAATCGTGATTCCGCTGATCTACACGTTCGGTACGTGCCAAATGAGCCGAAGATTGTGGAGAACGCATTACTGTCATTGAGCAGAGGAAAGCTGGTCAAATTGTTTGTGTGGTCAGCGCTGTGCTCGTGGCTGCTTATTTTACATTGGGTTTCTTAATTTGTGACTTGAGTGTTTAATTTGTGTATATGTCCTTCAGAATGTAAGGCTCGTGTTACCATACGGCAATTATCGTTTACGAGGCCTGAAGCTGCTCGCCTATTTTCTCCTTGTTCTCCATGCACCACCTAACGGCGACCTCAGCGTCCTCTAATGCGGCAGGAAACTTGTGCTCTGGCGCCAAACGGTACTCCACGCTTACAAATATACAACCCACGGTGCTGCAACAAATACCAGTGTAATAACTCAAACATGACACCTCATTCCCACCGGCACCATCGGTCTAAGTAGATCGTTTTTCTACCGTTTTTCTCTATGTAACGTCAGTCAAAAAGTGGCCAATCATCGGCCTCGCTCTCTGGCCAATTTTTGAATTCCTTTGACAGGACCGCCTCAGCGGTCGTTTACGGCCTTGTGCAGTTTGCTAGGCACGTGATGTAGCATGTGATGTAGCATGCGAAAAGTGTATATATTACTTATATCGATCGATTCATAATCACCGGTTTTTCTGTATTCTTCTCAACGTCAGGAGGAGGCGAGTCTTTCAGTTAAGCTGATTGCACTTAGCAAGACTCCCCTCAAAGTAGGTTGGTCTATGAAGACCAATAGTGTCTATGGGAATGGGGCCTTAAAGACCATGAAAATTCGTGTTTTAAATTAAAAGAAAAGCGATAAATAGCTTTAAGAATTATATCCGGAAATTTGTACCCTCTTAACATCATCACCATGATATGACATATCGTAAAATTGTGGAAAATTTATGACAAATAAAACGTTTTTTTACTTCTATGAACTAATTTTCCATATTTTCTTATTTATTTATCGATTTATTTCTGATCAGGTTAACACATTTAAAGAGCAACATATGCCTTGACTGTTTCATAACCCTATTATAAGCTACTCACTCGGTGAGAAGTTTGAGTGCAGGATCGTGAGTTTTTCTGGAGCAGATCACCCAGCCTCCACCGTGGAAAAACACCACTATAGCGACATCTGGCGGGCACGGTTTCGGCTTGTATACCCAAGCCGGTATTCCTGCTGTAAAGATACAAAAATGAAAGAAAACGGCGATGTGGTAATAGATTAAAAAAAAAAACTCTGTAGAGTAATTACTGGATCACAGACAACATTAATGGTAATTACTTGACCTTTTCAAGGGGCAAAAATTATCAAACTTTCAGATACTTAAATTTATTATCACACAAATTATATTTCTATATAGCATGTTTCTTATCACTAGAAACGTTGAGCAATAAAATCAGCAAGGCAAAGACATATATTTCAAACATCACACCTGTTTTTCTTTTCTTATTTTTTATTGATATTTTATTCCACCGTTTTTCTCTACGTAACGTCAGTCAAAAAGTGGCCAATCATCGGCCTCGCTCCTTTGGCAATTTTTGAATCCCTTTGACAGGACATCCTCAGCGGTCGTTTACGGCCTTGTGCAGTTTGCTAGGGACGTGATGTAGCATGCAAAAAGTCTATATATTACTTACCTGGGTCATGTGGAGACGGTATGGTGACGTCATCTCTTTCGCCTTTGAAGTCATATTTGAAACCGGAGTGGAAATATTCTACCGTCGCCTCTGATGATTCGCGTGACTCTTTGACAGTATCCATGTCTTCAAAGCTCTTTCCTCCGCGCTGTTGTCAAAATGAGTAATTGTGGATGACATGGAAAATATCTTGTGCCATGTTTTCAAGATCTGCCCTGGTAATTTTGGCGTACGTTTAGTTTAAATTGATTGCATTCCCTAATAATGACACCCATAAACGCAAAAGCTCTCTCACGCACAGAAATTACACGCTTGCGCGTACACATATTTACACACAAACCAATTATAAGTTCACATTTCATACACCTTAATCTGAGCAAACGATTCTAATAGCTACTGTTAAACTGCGACCTTTCCGATTAGCGTAGCATATTGATGAGGAGATTTGAAAATTATGTAACTGGCACGAATTTGAAACCCTGGCTTGGTGACTCCCAGGGACGCAATTAGTCAACGAGAGTGAAGTGTGACCTTACTTGTAGCGCTGCCTTGAGAAACGCCTGCGACTCCTCGTGGAGAGTGGCGAACGCTGCAGGTAGAGCCATCGCGTTGAGACTGCTAATGTACTGGTCACTACTTTAAGTCGATCGTGAGTTATCAGCCTGGTGAGTGTATAGGTCAGAAGATCGTGACATATTTGCAGGTTTGTTGACTTGACCCAGATAGAACCACTGTATGCGATAACAATATGCAGCAGATCTACCGACTTTTGGATCGATGATGAAATAGCCTACGTACACCAGTGAGGCGATTTACCTCTTGCGATTTCGGTGGGATGTGATTATAAATAAAATGTTTCTATTTATAAACAGAGATCTGGAGCCATAGGGCGTGTTTCATAAGTTCCACCTAATCACCTGAATATGTTACTTGTATTATAGTTAATAAACAGAGATCTAGAGCCATATAACTTGATATCAGTCTATAGAAGTTACTCTTACTGGGACTTGTTGCTATCTTTTGGTATCAATATTTGCGAAGGTAAATTTTCTTTGTATTTTCTTTTGCTGATACAACTCACACATTGAGTGCAATATAAGAAGGATACGACCTACCTTTATCGGACGATTTTCCGTGATAACCCAGGGGACAAATGTGTGGCATTTTAAACTGCACACTTTGCGTCATTCCAGCATTCATTCATGCGGCACAGATCTGAAATGATATATTGGAAGGATCATAAAATTCTACGCATGCTCTTTCAGTTGATATATTTCAATTCTTATGATTTAAGCAGCTACTAAGACAGGGTAACTTATATCTATTGAATGCATTTTGTACAGAATTTCCACCTGACACTTTTTTGCGTACTTTTGCTCAGCCCTTTTTCATTTTCTTCAGAATAAAAAGCATTTAAATAGATGTTTTCAATTGTGCGTATACATAGGACCACCCTGCGCGATCAACAAATCAAAAGATGATGTCAGCTCTCCCCATTGATCATTTTGCAGAAAAAAACTAAAAATAAATAAAGTAAGAAAGAAAGAAAGACATAGTAAATAAATAAATAAAGAAAGAAAAACTGTTACATATAGAGGAAGACCCACTGCTAATGGATAAATTGTATTAAATGAAGCATATCTGTTGGTATAAATTGTTGCAATATGAAACTTGCTTTCTAACATGTTTCTAACATTTTGTATAACTATTTCCTGTTATCCACAAAGGACGAAATTGTTATCAGGACACTGCTTACGAAATTTTGCATCTACTTCCGAAAAAATCCCCAAGGCAAGAGCACTGAAAGCCAGACGGATCCTCAACACTAAGTGATTTGAAAACGTCCGCAGAGAGTACTCCAATCTGGGGCAGGAGGTCATGTGTTAGATCCCCATGACCTGGTCATACCAAATACCATTATAATAGTATATGCTGTCTTCTGGTCCAGCACTCAGCAAATAGAGGTTGGAGTAGGAAAAAGACCTGGTCATATGTTAGTGCTGGTTATTGTGAATGCTCATTACGAGGGCCACATATGCTGCAACTTGGACTGGGATGAAACAGAATTGAAAAGTTTTCAATAAACGATGCCCTGTTTACTGTCAGAGACTGTTTGCAGTTTTTTCATAGGCTTCGTTTGTTCAGCATGAAAGGTGTATTTTATATTTGACCTAGAACACTTACATATAGGGATTTCTATTAACACGTTTGTTGCTTGGCAAATATTAGTTTTGATGTAAAGCGACAAAGAAAACTCTGTTAGTAAATTTTTACTTGCAATATCGTTCAGTTAAATCAAATGTATTATATTCTTTTTTCCGTGACAGCGATCTAACTGTCAAAATTTTCTCTCTCCCCCTCTCTCTCTTTCATGGTCGTGTGTTTCTGTGTGTGTGTGTGTGTGTGTGTGTGTGTGTGTGTGTTGCGCATGCCTTAACAGCTAGGTAAGGGCGAGAAGGTATTGGAATAACCTCCAAAAAGTTCAACCAGAGAAGGCCTCTCACACCAATGAGATACTCGTATTTCATTTGCATCACATATAGTCAATATCTATGCCACTTTGATACAGCACGTCGAAGTTCAACATAATGGAAACCCCTATGACGTGTTCGGTAATATGAAATTACTTCCAGTATATGACTAATGAAAAGTGATGCTTGTTTACTGCCTCTACCTTTCCATACAGTTTGGTATCCATGTCTTTCTACGAATCATATCAAAACAATATCATTACTTTTATATTTGAATAATGACAAAATTACAGTATGAACCTGAATGTGTCTCATACAAATATGTGCGTGCCATTAATCTAATACGTCTATACTTTGTCATTCATATACCTGTACATGGTTTCGTGTTTTAGAAATAAAGCTTCGACATTTGCCAATTGCAAGGTTTCAGCTCTCCCTATTTTATACAATTGGCCAAAAATATGGCTTTTCTTGTAACCATAGCAACAAGCATTGTTGGGAGTAAATAAAGCCGATATTGCTGCTTTGGGCCAAGGTCTGGTATAGGACAAAAAAGGAAGGGGATATATTTTTGACCCTTGTCACATATATTTGTTTCCTACAGACGTCTTTCAAGACCATTAAAATGCATCGCCACTGTCACAGTGTACCTCGTTGTAATCGCGGCTCATATGAGAACCCACCAAGTCTCGATCGTGCCCACTTTAAACATTGCAAGTCGTTTAGCAGAAAGACTCCATTTGACCCAGAGAGCATACCTGCAGGACCGACGAGCGCCTATTAGCACGTCCGCAGAATTGCACTAACTTTCGAATCAATTTGCTTGATAGTCTGTAACGATAAATGTGTGATGAAATCCCTTGAAAAATACTTGGCTTAAATTTGATTGAGTTTAAGATGTGAAATATTTTCACTGAATGTTTCCCTTTACATTTTATTTC